AAAGCATTACTTATAGCTACAATAACGGTTTTCGCTTTTTATAAATGCAGAGGGTAAAATAATTGCAGACTAAATGAGCTCCTTTTTTTGTGGTGGTGGGGAATAAATTGCGGTCCAGACTTTTTTCGGGAGACCGTGGTTGGATCGTGGGCTCATCAAACCCGTCCCTGACTGGCTGCGCTTTCACGAAGTTGCCAACTTCCAGCCCATTCGCCCCTGCTCGACCATGCAGGGACAACCCGCCCAACGAAGGATCAGCGACAGCCCCAGGCGGACTGCCAGGCCGACTCAGCGCTGCGTCTAGAGGCTCGTGAACTGAGGCTGCCCTCCCGGAACGTCAAGTTCCAGCACCGCCCCTTTTCTTCGGATGCCTCATTGACTAGTTTTCAGCCGACCAGTATCAGGAGGCGTGACGAGCGGCCAGCCTCACTTTGCTTCCCGACAACGCTCAGCCCTTCCTTGGCGGAGCAGATAGACTTCTTCGCGACAGACGACTATCCAGGGTGGCATATCGGGCTACTCGCCTCCGTCTGACATGTCATGAAGCTGACAGGGCATGGACGGACAGGGAAATTTTGGTCGTGTGTGGGTTCGCAGTCGTCTCGCGACCATCTTCACGCACGCGGGGACTAACAGGATTTGGCAAGCACGGCCGCTCTGGCGGACAGCATGCATGCGTCGGGTCTCTGCCTCGGATGGCTGTCATAACAGGAACCCCTGTTGAACGCAGGGTACTTGATATCCCGCGAGAGGGAGGCGTTCGCGGGCTGGATATCCCAGCACCCTCAATAATGCAGGGGCAGCGCAGGTGGAGGTGCCCGGCTTCAGGCACTAGCCGACGGAAGATGGAGGGCGCGGTGTGAGGGAGTGCCGGAGAGATGGAGTATCATAAAGGCCCCTCGGCGCCGTCTTGGTATCTTTCTTTTTCCTCCTCTCTCTTCACGCACCTCATCCGAAGGCGACGGCCCATTCCCCGGGAGCACATTTTGTTGCTCGTCCTCTGACGTATCGCACGTCCTGTCTCTCGTTTTAGTATCCCCCCACACTCTTTTAATCCCCTTAGGGGAATCACCTTGCCTGCCATGGCCCCGTCATTCCTTACCGTCAGCGCGGCCGTTCTGGCCGCCGCTTCGGCCGCCTCGGCCCGCTCATTCCACTCGTCCCACTCATCCCACTCGTCCCACTCGTCCCACTCGTCCTACTCCCCCTCTTCTTCCCAGTCGCCGTACCAGGTCGACGATGTCTACGACCACACTAACTTCTTCGACAAGTGGAACTTCTACGTGGTATGTTGGTACCTTGGATAAGACTTTAGACTTCACATGCTGTGCTACACATTAGACCAAACCCTGACCAATGGCATATAACAGAGCAACTACTCGACGGGAAATCCGTTCGATGTCGACCCTACCCATGGGTTCGTTAACTATCGCAACCGGACGGATGCCGAGGATCTTGGCCTGATCAAGACAGAGCACGACGGTATGCGGCTGGGAGTCAACGCCAAGGACAAGTTCAAGCTGGGCAAGGGCCGTGACAGTGTGCGCCTGGAGAGCAAGCAGCTGTACACCCACGGTCTCTTCATTGCCGACTTCACGCACTTCCCAAAGCCCGTGTGCGGATCTTGGCCCGCTTACTGGATGTTCGGCGACCCGTTACCCACCGTCGGCAAGTTCGACATCTATGAGGGTTGGAACACGGCGTCCGAGAACACTATCTCTCTGCACACCGACAAGGCCTCGACGGTGGGCTCGTGCAAGCTGCTACAGAACAACGACTTCAAGGTGAAGACGGAGAACTGCGACAACCACTTCCAGAACCCGCCTTCGCAGCACCGGGGTCAGGGCTGCGGTGCCAAGGACAAGGGTGGTCTCTGGGGCAACCCCTCCGGCGGCGTCTACGCCATGGAGTGGAGCTCGGACAACATCACCGTCTGGCAGTGGTCGCACCACAGCGTCCCGTCCGACGTGCGGGATGGAAACCCCAACCCCCGTCTTTGGGGCCGCCCGGCCTTCCTCCTCAGCGGTGACAGCTGCGACATCGACCGCGTGATCAGCAAGCAGAAGCTGGTGCTCAACATCGACCTCTGCGGCGACGTGGCCGGCAACCAGGGCATCTGGGACGGCCAGGGCTGCGGCGCCAAGGCCCAGACGTGCGTCGACTATGTCGGCGACAATCCGGAGGCCTTTGAGGATGTCTTCTGGAAGGTCAAGAGCATCAAGATCTACAAGCACCAGGGATCCCAGTCTTCCACCACGATCACGTCGGCCACCACCACTGCCGCAACGACCGCGACTGACACGACTAGCACCACCGAGTCCTCGTCTACTGAGACCAGCACGTCGTGGACCAGCACTGCCGAGTCTTCGTCGACCGACACCGTCAGCATCACCAGCACCGCTGAGTCTTCGGCGACCGAGTCGAGCACATGGTCGACTAGCACCGCTGAGTCCACGTCCACCGAGATTAGCACGTCGTCGGCCAGCGCTGCCGAGGCCATCATGAGCACCGAGACGACCAGCACCGCTGAGCCCGCGAGCACCGAGGTCAGCACTGCCGAGTCGTCGACCGGGACAAGCTCATGGTCTGCCAGCAGCGCTGAGCCTTCGACCACCGAGCTCAGCACGTCTACCAGTGCTACCGAGTTGTCGACTGAGACAAGCACCTGGTCGACCGGCACCGCTGAGCCTTCGACAACGGAGGCTAGCAGCGCCACCGAGACGCTCAGCGCCACCGGGTCGTCGACCGGGACAAGCTCATGGTCTGCCAGCAGCACTGAGCCTTCGACCACCGAGATCAGCATGTCTACCAGTGTTGTCGAGTCGTCGACCGGGACAAGCACCTGGTCGACCGGCGCCGCTGAATCCTCGATCACGGAGGCTGGCATCTCCGCCAGCGCCACTGGGACGTCGACCGAGACAAGCTCGTGGTCGATCAGCACCGCTGGGCCCTCTACCGCCAAGACTAGCAGCGCTATCGAGTCGTCAATAGAGACTAGCGCAGCCTCGACCGTTATCTCCAGCTCGGCGATCGATGCTATCTTGACCGACGTGACCTCCTCATGGACCAACACCTGGATCAACCCCTCGATGACGGCGACCGCCGCTGCTACCTTCACGGATTCCTCTTCCACTGAGATGAGCACCTCCACCAAAGTCTCGTCTACTGAAGCTGGCGCTTCCACTGACGCCTCGTCAAATGAGGTTAGCACGTCTACCGCCGCTTCCGCATCGTCTACCGAAGTCAGCACCTCGACCGATACTTCTTCCACTGAAGTGACCACATCCACTGATGCCGTCTCATCCTCATCGTGGACCAACACCTCGGTGAACCCTTCGACCACGGCAATCAGCACTGATGCCGCCACGACTTCGGACTCGTCGGCGACCGAGACGAGCACTGCTAGCGACCTGGCATCGTCGTCCACCAGCACCTGGGCTAACCTTTCGGCGACCGCAGCCAGCACTGATGCTGCTGCGACTGACGTCTCTTCCGCCTTCGCTGATGCCACTTCAACAATGACCACTGCTGATGCCACCGCAACTGACGTCACTACTGGAACCATGACCTCCACCGATGCTGCTTCTACTGTTGCCAGCATCGATGCTCCTGCAACTGACGTCTCCACGGGAACCACCACGTTTGCTAATGTTACTTCAACTGCAACCACCGCTGATACTACCTCGACCGGCGTATCTACCGGAACCGCCACCTTTACCGATGTCACTTTTACTGCGGCTAGCACAGATGCTGCTTCCACTGCAGCTATCACCAATGGTGGTTCCACTGCGGCTAGCACGAATGCTCCTGCTACTGACGCCTCCACGGGAACCAGTATTTCCAGTAACGTCACTTCAACTGCGAGCACTGCTGATGCCGCCGCGACCGACATCACTACTGGAACCATGACCTCCACCGATGCTGCCTCTGCTGTCGTTAGCACCAATGCCACTTCCACTATTGCCAGCACCAATGCTCCTGCGACTGGCGTCTCTACGGGGACCACCACGTTTGCTGATGTCACTTCAACTGTGACCACCGCTGATACTACCTCGACCCACGTCTTTACCGGAACCGCCACCTTCACCAATGCCACTTCCACTGCGGCCGGCACCGATGCTACTTTCACTGCGGCTAGCACTGATGCTGCTGCTACTGATGCCTCCACGGGATCCGGTATCTCCACTGACGTTACTTCAACTGCGACCACCGCTGATGCTGCCGCGACCGACATCACTACTGGAACGATGACCTCTACGGGTGCTGCTTCCATTGCCGCCAGCACTGATGCTACGGGAACCACCACCTCTGTTGATACCACTTCCACTGTGATCACCGCTGATGCCACCCCAACTGGCGTCTCAACTGGAGCCAGCACCTCCACCGACACCAGCACTGACGCCTCATCTACGGAGCTGAGCACATCGACCGAGACCAGCACTTGGGATGCGTCCACGAGCACTGGAGTCTCTACCACGGGCTCGTCGGCTGAAACCAGCACGTCGAGCGATGACAAGACCGCTGTCGGTCCGACAGGCACTGATACCACGGGTATTCCCACAAACATTGTGTCCAGCTCGACCACCACCCACTCGACCACTTACACGGCCCCCACCTCCACCAGCGCATCTTCCACTGCTCCCACATGGACTGGCTCGGTCACGTCCGCCGGCATCTGGTCCACCGCGGCTCCTTCGTTCATCGTTAGCACCGTCACTACGACGCGCACCTACACCATCACCTCGTGCGCCCCCGGTGTCGTCTCGTGCCCCGCCCGCGGCCAGGTGACCAGCACCGTCGAGACCTATGTCACCACCAGCCCCGTGACAACCACGCCCGCACCCGCGACCACCATCTCCAAGGCGCCCGAGTCGTCGGTGACGTCGACCATCACCACTACCCGCACCTACACCATCACGTCGTGCAAGCCCACTGTCACCAACTGCCCCGTCGGCAGCGTCACCTCCAGGGTCGAGGTCTACACCACCGTCTGCCCGGCGGGCTCGCTGCCGACCCCGTCACCCACTGGTGGCAACGGTGGCAACGGCGGTTGGATCTGCACCGGCGCCAACTGTGGCGCCAACGGCAGCGGCAACCGCGACGACTGGACCTGCACCGGCCCCAACTGCGGCGCCAACGGTAGCAACAGCGACGGCTGGAAGTGCGACGGTCCCAACTGCGGCTCCACCGGTGGCAGCACCGACGGCTATAAGTGTGAAGGCCCCGGCTGTCCCAAGGGCAGCACCAGCACCACCCAGTGCAGCGGTTCCAACTGCGGTAGCAGTGGCGTCACCCAATGCAGCGGCCCCAACTGTGGCAGCAGTGGCGCCCCGCAGTGCAGTGGTCCTAACTGCGGCAGCAGTGGCGTCGCCCAGTGCAGCGGCCCCGGCTGCGGCGGCAGCTGGACCACCGTCGCCGTCCCGCCGCCCTCCAAGCCCACCGGCTCGTCGGCCGATAGCCCGCCCGCCGCCCCCTGCTCGACCTGCTCGCCGCAGCAGCCCGCTGGCCTGAAGCCCAGCGTCTCCCTCGGCAACGGTACCTCGGCGCCGGCCAAGCCCACGCTGCCCGTTGCTGCCGGCGCGAGCACCCTTGGCGCCGCCTCGGTCACGCTCGGCTTCGTGGTTGCCGGTGCCGTGCTTGCCCTCTTCTAAGAGCTTGATTCCTTTGTCTCTTTCTTTTGTCCATAACGTACTAAACTTCTTGCTTGTGTTTAAATATCGTGTAGCTATGTAGCTGGCCGGCGTTGTGATATACACCGGCAAGCAATGTATCCAAGTTTCAGGGGGTTTCGTGAGGCCAGATAATGTCTTGGATATACCGGTCGGAAAAATAGAAATACAAGCCACCTTATACCTGAAGTTGTCTGTTCCCATTTGCTGCCATGTCATGTGAAACGAGCCCAAGTCCTGGCGCTTTGAGTATAGTCACAATGTGCAATCGAGAGTCCAAGTCGTCTTCCCCGTGTTGATCGGGAATCGCCGACGACCCGGATCCCTGAATGATGACCCGCCTCCTTATGCAGGGGAACCCCGCGGGCCATGTTCTGGTGCCGTCATGTTCCGTGGCACGGCATTGCACTTGCATCCCATGATCGGATGTGTTTATATTTTGTCCTCCCTGGTCCTCCTTCTCCTGCCTAGAGCAGTAGGTACTCGTCTCATCGCCCTGTGCTTCTATGGGAGGCGGCGGGGTCTCCCGCCTCCTGAGGCTCGGCTTGGGTATGTGTACCCTTGCCTCCGGCGAGTGCGTCTACGGTTACTGGCCGGGTGTTTGCGATCCTTTGTTCGATCTTGACGTCTCCCCGTTCAAGATCTTTGCGCCTGTACCTACCCCAGCCAAGCAAAAAAAAAAAGGGGGGAAGGGGTGCACAGAGGCGGGGATCGGCAGTTTGCGCAGATTAAGGAAACAAAGGACCCGGCCTTTTGACAGGGGCCGTGTGGCCAACCGAGAGAGCACAAGGGATTCTGGTGCCATGGCAAGGCGATGCGGCCACCCGACCACCACTACATTCATGTCTCTGCGACTCCTGTTAGTCCTGCCCTTGATGGAGCGCGCTGAATACACGTATACGTGTGGAATGGGAGGCGGATGACGAAGTTCGTAGGCTCGGGACAGTGTTGCGACGCGAATCCAGAAATTATCGAAAGGAGTTGCAATCGTGCTATGCCGGCGCCAACGTCTGGCGCCAGGAGTATAGGCTCATCATACGGCCCACCTTTTCACTATTTCCTGCCTGTGCCAACCCGTGATGTTTACAGTGCCCTCTACCATGCTAGCTTCAACTTTCCCAGATCAAAACCTCCTCAGACACGCAACGAAGAGTAGCCTGCCGTCTTGAAGCACACAAAAAAAACCCCCAAAAAAACCCCCACTACGATGCCTGTCCCCCTTGGCCCTGGCCTCCTTGCTGCTGCTGCCACTGCCACTGCATCCAGCGCTCCCTCATGTGCCTCTCGCACTCGACGTTCTGATCCCAGACACTCCTGAGCTTGCGTACCCGGCGGCAGCGGTGCTGGGGGTCGTTGCGGGCGTAGTGGCAGTACGACTGCAGCCGCTGCTCCGAGCACCCGCACGTGAAGATGAACTCTTCGAAATCGCACATGGTCTAGTTTGGGCGTTAGGACTCGAAGGACGTGTTATCTCCTGGAATGGTGGCTTACAGGAATACCAGGTGTGGTAGAGGCCGATGTGGATGCTAAAGCAACCCCTAGTAATCAAGCTCAGTGGCTGGCTGGCTGGCTGGCTTTTTTTCGGTGTGGTTGATTTGGATCTGGGGGCTCACGCCAGGAGTACTATAGCCGTATATTCCAGTACCGATGGTCAAACGATGAGGAATGGAGGCCCGAACCTGGGATGGGTTCCAGACCTAAATACTCACCCGGCCTCGCTTAACACCTACCCCAAGACCACAGCCAAGGGCACAGTCGACGAGAGTGGCAGACGGTGAGCCTGAGTGTGGTGTCATCATCTCCTGCATCACCAGTTCCCTAGGCTTGCATCAGGGTGCGGCAGGGGAAGCCATATCTGCAACACAGGCGTGGCCCTCGACGACATATCACACATACACCCCCCTCCCTTGTGGGGAAGACCTTTCGGTGGCTCCCGTCCTGCCACAAACTCCTGCTCGCGCAGCAGAACAAGACACAAGACGCCCCCCCAATCACCCACTTGACCTTTTCAACCGCCGCCACATTTTAGGAGCTGCGGGGAACCCCGGGTGAGGATGAGGGAAGGTTTGTGTAGGATGGCAGGATAGTTTCCATATGAGGGTGTGACACATTTGTTTGCCCCCTTGTGTCAGGAGGAGAGGTGCGTGTGATACGAACAAGGAGATGATTGCCTGCCTGTCTGCTTGGGGCTACGTGCCGTGGCAGTCCAAAGCGGCGGCCACTCGGGGTCGATCTCGACAGGCGGCTTCGTGTATGGAGAAGCGAGGCGCGCACTCCGAAGTTAGCGCCAGCGAGAAGGCAGTTGTCGACGCAAACATGGCGACGAACCCCCCCATGCCTGCCGCAGACAAATAAGACTCCCCTTATTGGCCGGAAGGAGGACGGCGGCCGGCTGCGAGATGGCGAATCCGGGTTGCCGCGCCATCAGCCGGCAAAGAGAAATTGAAAAGCCCCCCTCCCTCGGATTGCCATCCGGCGTTCCGCGTCCTGGCAGAAACCCAGAGCCTGGCTCCTGGGTAGCTGGCTCTCAGCAGGAGGAAATCCAAGCCTGCGTCAAGGCTGCTCCGGCGGGCAAACATCGGGGTGTGCATGGATAGGAAAAAGAAAATGCAACCCTATCATGTTTGAGGGGCTTTTCTTGTCGACATGAGTGGCTGGGTGGGCTCGTAGGGATGGGCAATAAAGCGGGGAGGGGTCCTGTAGTTTGTCCCCTTGGCTGTTGATTCGATATGACAACGAAAGTAGCGACAGGATACCACCCTCATCTGGTCGCACAAGCCAATCCTGACCGCTTGGCTCATGCAGCCTCCCGCCCTGCGGACAAGGGCTTTTTTTTTTTTGGGAAAGCTGCCTGCCTGCCGCCCGCTCAACGTAGTAATGCTCTTTTCGCGCACGTCGACGTCTCTCTCTTCTCCTAGATAGGCGTTGGCATGTTCATAGCAGACTCTGCAGCGGATGATACCCAAGCTGGACACCCCACCCCGTCTCGTCTTGATGACGTGGGCCGCCAATATTGGGTCTGACGAGCAAGCTCAAGGCGGGTGGGACCGGCCATCGCACTTGTCGGGGAGCGGCGCCCCGTCTCTCTCCCCCGTCGGCCCCAGGGCCTGGCCGCCAGGGGTAGGAGGAAGGAAAAGCGGCCGAGACCCTCCCAACCCCCCCGCTGGGGATGGTCGAATGTGCCACCTCGAGCCACCTCGATCAGGTGAGGAGGGGGGCCATGGTAGGGAAACAATCGCCTATTTATGCCCCATGGAGTGGGCTTGACCGCGGTCCCAGGTCGGACATGGAGGAGGTGCCGGGCGTCAAAAAGAGTGCGCGCGGGAGCGGATGGGTGGGTGTTTCCTGCGGGGAACCGAGACTCCATATGGCCCCAACAGCTGTCAGAGTCGGCGAGACACAAAGGAAGGGCTCTGGAAGGGAAGAGCCGGCGAGCGGGCGGGGCGGACGGACGGACGGACGGGGACCAGGGTCGGGATCAGAGGGTTAGACAGGGGCCATGGGAGGGAGATGTGACGCCTGGGCTTGGGGGTGGGATGTTTGGCTCTAAAACCCAGGCCAGGCCGGGCGGCCGGGCCAGCATTGCTTGGTGTAGGTCGTCTCGGCGTTGGTGAGGAGGAGAGGTGGGTGTGGAGCAGGCCTTGGGAGCAGGCCCTGGGAGGTGCGCCACGGTGAAGCAAACAAACAATCTGCGCTCCAGCACACACAGACCTGCCCTATCATTGGGCAGTTGCAGAGAGTATGCAGCAGCAAGGATGTAGGGGATACATGCAATTCGGTTGTTGTCGGGTACCAGGGGAGGCGTGGCTGAGTGCTGGATGTGAAGTCGCTATCTCGGCCTCGTGGGCTGGGGCTAGGCCGCTCTCCAACACAAACTGCACCGATATCTAAGCCAGCGCTGGAGCTTTGCTTTATCAGCCCCTTGATACCGACACTGACAGGATGTGAGGGAAAGGGCGCCAAGGGTAATGGCCGCTTCAGTGCCCGGGAAGGAAAATGAATGTTGATTGATATCGATTTCGCCATCTGCTCAGTTGGTATGCCGACCAGATGCTGCCGAGGTATCCAATAAATAGCCAATAGTCTCCCACCAGCAACTTGACAGCTTCATCATCTTCCACCTCATCCTTAGCTCGGTTAGCCTTTTTTGATAAACGAGGGCTAGCTTGTGGAACAGTGACTTGACTTTGTGATGGGAGAAGTGCGGGCGCCCCATCACAAGCAGGGCGTATCCTCCCAGACCGGATTACACTTCATCGAGGTATACTCTCATCCAGCCGACCTATCCAATTGAGGTCGAGATTATTATCATTGATAATGGTCGCTATCGGCTCCAGTGATAGGCTTGCCACGGCAGTCGGGCCTAGAACCCCACCTACAAGTCCCAGCCCAAGTCGCAAGAAGGCTGCGCAAGCCTCTTCTCACAGCGAGCATGGTATCTGGACTATGAAACGATTTGTCAGAGAGTTCCAATGTACTCAAGGAGCAGAAAATTTCGAGGGTACAATTGAGGCTCTCCGGGTAAGTGCAAACAAGCTATCCTGTTTGCTGCTATAACTTGGGGATACACTCTTTGCAGGCCATTTTTACAGCGCCGTAAAGTACCTGCTTTTAGAATAGACTGCTTGTGTGGAGGGTGAGACCTTGCTGGAGTGTCAAGGAATCCATGTGGTCCGTGCGGGGTACGTATCGCTAAGGACTGCTGCGGCTGCCTTGAGGGGGGACAAGCGGGAGGCGAACCACGCAGCCAAAACCCCGTGGTCCGCCTAGAAAACGGCAACCGCCCAGAAAGGCGGCCGTCGCCGTCGACACACCACAATCTTGCCAAGAGAAGAAGAAAGAAAAAAGGAAGGAGCCCAGCCAGCACATTGCGGCTCTTTGCTTTCGCGCAGCGACCCAGGCTGTCTTCTGACCAAGGGCGCCCTCCTCGCCCACCCTGCCATTGAGCCTGCCGCCGCTGCCTTTTCCATCCCGCGTTTTCCTTGCACCAACTCATTCCTCGACACGACCGCTGTCATTGATGCTCTGAGCAAGAGGATGGTCCAGCGTCAATCCTTGACGGCCCCCTCTCGAGCCTTAGCCACCAGGCCTTGACTACACTGTCGCTGCTAGCTTCCTATTGCGCCTGTCGAGTCTGTTGCGCCTGTCGAGTCTGCCTTGGAGCACGGTGCTGTCCCTTTCTAGACCCACGCCCCCCTACCCAAATCCTCCTTTTCCGCCTGGGCTGGTGATCTCTTGATCTTGCCCGCACGCTCAAGTCGACTCAACCCACAGCGTCGCGCCCGAGCCATCTCGCGCCACGTCGCTGTTCGGTTATTCCGTCTCATTTTGCCTGACCACGCTCCTGGCATTTATTTCCTGCCTAGGCCCAGGCTTTCTGGCGTTCGTCGCAAAGGCGCGCTCCCTGCTTCTTGGCCCCACCCGTCGGGCTGACAGCGTCCATCTCCCGCCCTCCAGCTAACTGCGCAACGGCGCTGTGGCTTGCTTGTGCAGTCCAAACGACGTCAGCCGTATCGCTTCCTTTTTAACCCCTCCAAGGCCACCACCACCGCCGCCACGCCTACGAGAGAAAACGCAAGCCTGCTGCCCTGCTGCCCTGCACGACTGCATCTGTCCTGTCCAGTTTGACGCCCGTTGTGCTGCGCCCCTGAACATTCTTTTCCTTCCTTCATCTACTTCCAAACGTCCCTTCCACCCCCCACATCTCTCCCTCGACCATCACGCGCCACCGCCACTCACTTGCCCACTCACTTGCCTTTTTCCCCAGCCGGGCCTTTTCCGTGCCTTGTCGCCGAAACGGTCGATAAGATGAACGGCAGCGGCGCAAACGCGGCATCGCCCGCTCACTCGATGCCGGGTAGCCACTCGCGGCCCGTGCTGGGCTCTGCTCAGGGGCCAGATAAAATCCCCAGACAACTCCAGAACCAGCAAATGGGCATGCCTGCTAGCATGCTCGACTTCTATGTGCTCCAGCAGGATGGCCCATATTTTGCCGGTCTGAGATCTCAGCGGCAGAGCCAAGCGCACTTGGGGAACATTACCGGGCTACCCCCGGCTTTCCACCAATATCGGACGACATTCACTCCCTCCGAGTCCTCGGTCGTTCCTCCCAGCAACGCGACAGACTCGGGGTACGGGAGCGGTCATCGCCCCAGCGTCGGAATTCCCTCGACCTATGGAGGGGACGCGGACCATTTGACCGACACCCAGAGCGTGACGGGCCGGATGGAAGATCTGTCCACCTCCAACCTCTCCAACTTCCCTATCGACCACAGTTCCCAACGGAGCGCCAACATCGCCAGCTGGAGCCAGCCCGATGAGCGACTGATGCCAAACAACGGCAATAATCAAGTGCTCGACGCCAATGAGTGTCATCTTTGCCACGAAAATCACAGGACACCTTCAGACCTGAAGTGAGTCTACCACAGCGGGCAGTCTCACCTGCAACAGTTCTTATCTGGCCCTGCCATCAACTGACCCTAGAGAGTATTATCCACCACCAGAAAACACATAGCCCGCCATACGAGGCCGCACCTTTGTCAGGTAGCCAATTGCCCGCGTACCCGGGGCTTCAGCACTGCCAATGATCTGGCACGACACACCCGCAGCAGACACCCAGATATCAATGCCCAGGGGCATTTTTACAAGTGCAAACTGGGGCTCTGTGCGAATGGGCGCAAGCTTTGGCCTCGGGCTGATAACTTTCGGCAACACTTGGTGAGGAAGCACGGCTATCTTGCCACTACCGAGAACATCGACGAGTTCATTTGCAGCGTGGCAGAGCCGGCAGCCGAGTCCAGTGGTAACAATCCCGTCGGCATGCACACCACTGATGTTGGCTCGGACCCCGTCGCAATCCAATCGCTTGCCTCGCGCGCCCTTGGGACCCGAGTTGGCCTGGAAGTCGGTCAGACTGACAGCCGTATGGCCGATCCCAACCTGGATTTTTCTCACCATGACAGCTCCATGGTTGGCATCCAATTCTCTGGAATGGCCCCGCCCACCGACAGTGCAAACCAGGTCGAACTTCGCCACTCGGATGATGGGCAGGTCATGCATTCCAGACGCGAAGACCTCCACCAAGATCTCCACATAGACTCTGCCTTGCCGCAAGCACCATATCCCTTCTCGAGATCCGACGCGCTAGAAACGTGGTCTGGAGACGAGCCGGTTCGAAGTTCTACCCCGGAGCCTGCCCTGGCCACTGGGAACCCCCACATTACAATTTACCAAGATGGACAGTCGAGCAGCCGCCTCCAGCTCTACCCTCCTGTCGCCACTGGTCTATCAAGCAGTGGGAGGCTCTCGGTAGGCTCCGAGGCTGACCCAAATCATGACACTTTTGTGGATCTGGACGAAGATCGCGCGTCCGATTGCCAGCCCACGGATCCCCACGACGATCAGGATCTTCCCGACGAGGACGACAGTTCGGTAACCAATCCCGAGACAGAACCTCGGTCAATCCCGACCATCTCGCTTGAAGAGGTTGCTCAGGAGCCTGTGCCAAGCCCGATTGCCGAGAGCGTTCCCAAGATGTCTCGCCCTACACCGAGCGAAGGCCACAGTACTGGCGCAATGGTTCCCCTGGAATTGGAGAACCTTCTCAAGCAGGTAGAGGAGACTGATGGCCCTAGAACGCTTGACAAGATCCTGGAGAAGTTCGGGTACGAGAAATCGGGGTCATCTTCTTCAAAGTCAAAGAAGTCGCCTTGCAGCAACAACAGTGGGGGCAGCGGGCCCAGCGTGGTTTGCAAGTTTCAGAATTGTGGTGCATCCTTCCACCGAGAGTGCGAGCTAAGGTATGTATATGATATCTTCCCTCCACTTGGACGCTCACGGCCAGGTTTCGGATTCTAATCGATATTGGACCGGCAGGAAGCACATGAAGCGGCATGACAGGCCGTACGGATGTACGTTCAAAGCGTGCACAAAACGATTCGGCAGCAAGAGCGATTGGAAGCGCCACGAAAACAGCCAGCACAGCCCAGTGGACGTCTGGAAATGCGACGAATATGCCAGACCACTACCAGGTCGCAGTCCCAATGAGCAGAGATGCGGCAAGGTTTGCTATCGGCGCGAGACCTTCAAGGCCCACCTCCAACGAGAGCACGGGTTTGACGTGTCCCTGTCCACCGGCAATGCCCATCGCGTCGCCGCAAAACTTGCATCATGCCGAAGAGGGGAGCAGGATTGTGAATCTGCATTTTGGTGTGGCTTCTGCGTTCGCCGGGTCGACGCAGTCGAGAACGATGGCCGCGGGACCGAGCGGTTTAATCATATCGACGCCCACTTGAGCGGCCGAAACATGAAGATACGGCACTTTGACGAGTGGAGATACGACGACCACGATGGGCCGTCGCATCTTGATGCAGGGCCTTCATCCGCCGCCCAATCGACATCAGGGGGTTCTGGGCGGTCCTTTACCAGCTCTCCGTCCAGCGACTCTTCTCGGGACAAGCGGCGTTCTGGGACCAACCACGAGGAGCACACAAGGCGCGCCAAGCGCCCAAAGGTCGGAGGATCCTCAGTTTGGTTTTGTGTAAGTCTCCCTTGATTCCCGTGTCCGATCCATATCCAGGGCGCTGACTTTCGACGTCTCCAGTGCGACTGCAACTATTTCAACTTGGTAGCCCTCGCGGATACCTGCGGAGGCGGCGGTTCCAACCCAGACTGCACACACTCTCGTTGCCCCAACTGTTCTGTCATGGAGTCTCATGCAGAAATGGATCTCCCCGAGGTGACGTGAATGGTCTGGCCTCCTCTTGGTACTACTTTCCCTTTCACTGCCATGATGTATCATGATAACGACGATGACGGCGTTGACGAACTGAAGGATTGTTTGGATCACATGCATATTTTAATCGCTACCTCGTATGTTGCTGTCGAGGGATACAACCGTATTTCTTTCTTGTCCGGTTTTTTTTTTTCCTTTCCTTCTCAGACGGCAGCGGTGGAAAGCATGATATCCTCCCGGTTTTTCTTTGGTATTTTCAGCAATGCTTGGCCTGTTTCAAAAGCACTTCGTCGTCGGGGACCACTTGCTCATCTGTCATCTACGTCGATTTTATACGCAAATAGTGACAATCTTGTGGGTTACAAACAAAATCCCCAACCTGTCCACGTCGCCGGGCACGACTGCCCGACCCCCTGCTGGAGATAATCAGCATTGACGGCAAGCGTGCCTTCTTTCTTTATTGTTTCTTTCTTTCCCTCTTCTCGTGTGTAACACCTCCATCCTAGCGTCGTCGGGGCTTGCTAAAAATGGCCCCCGGCGCCGCCCAGTGACTACCCCATGTCTCCTGGTGTCAAACCGCACGTCTGGGACCGGAACCACATCCGTATCTATATGGCTAGACTGGACTCATCCGCCTCGTGGTTAACTCGGAGGGGGTGCGCGTGTGCGTGTGTGGCTGGGACTTTGGTGATTTCTCGGACATTGGCCCGCCCAATGGGGGAGAGGGTGGAAGATGGTCACGCCTGCTTCGTCTACTCCTTCCCATTTTCTCGCTCTCGTTTCCCTCGTTCTTCTTCTATTTCCCGCCAGGTGTGGACACGCGTGCGTGTGGTGGTAGTAGTGTTATTTCGTCCCTAGTCTCGGTCAGAAAGATTTCAAAGCAGATCATGACCTGTCCTTTTTTTTTTCAGCCTCTTTTTCTTTCACCCACATTACACACATCACATTCTCTCCGCCCTCTCGTAATGTCCCTTCTTCTTCTTCTTTCCCCGCTCCTCAATGCCCCGAGAGCACGCAAGGCGTGCCAGCAAAAAAAAAGCAAAGCAAGGAGGAAAGAGAAAAAAACACGACCCTTCGCTGCAGGCAGGTGACCCGCTGCCTAATCGGCTTCTTGCTTCCTTTTTCTCCTTTGCTTCCTTTTTCTCCTTTGCTTCCTTTTTCTCCTTTGCTTCCTTTTTCTCCTTTGCTTCCTTTTTCTCCTTTGCTTCCTTTTTCTCCTTTGCTTCCTTTTTCTCCTTTGCTTCCTTTTTCTCCTTTGCTTCCTTTTTTTTCCTTCACGCGAACCACCACCCACGCACCCACCCAACCAGCAAGCAATAAAGCAGCAAGTATTGCAGCAGCGCGGCTACCTGCATGAGCGGCCGCCCAACACGTGTACCGACGACCCCTCCGTCTCCTTTTCTCCCCCCCCTTCTCAAGCCCACACCGAAGACGCCTTGATTTTGCTTTGGGTGTTTTTTTTTATTATTATTACCCTTCCCACCCCCTATTTCTTTTGTTTCTCTCCTCTGTTCCCCTCTTGGGAATAGATGCGTGTCGATCGCTGTGCCCAGCTTCGGTAGTGCGTCTCGCAGCGTGCGGCTGACGTTTTCTCTCCCCCCGCCCTTCCGGGTGATGCAATACGTGATTTTGTTTCCTTCTCGCCGTGTCATCTGGCGGTAC